GGCTTAGAACCAATCAAGAGGAATTTCCATAGGTTTCAAGTTCTATGAAGAGGAATAGAGGCTAGTGCTATCAGTGAGAACCAATCAAGAGGAATTTCCATAGGTTTCAAGTTCTATGAAGAGGAATAGAGGCTAGTGCTATCAGTGAGATGTTGTATCCCTATTGCAACAAAACTAGCAGTAGCACTTAAGACTTATATACTGCTTTACAGCCCTCTCTACGTGGTTTACAGAGTCAGCCTATTGCCCCTCATTTTACCCACCTTGGAAGGATGGAAGGCCGAGTCAACCTTGAGCCTGGGAATATTCGATCTGCCAAACTGCTGGCAGCCGGTGATCAGCAGAAGTAGCCTGCAGTACTGCACTCTACCACTGCACCAACCTCATACATTAAGCGGAAAAAGTTTCTGGAGAAAAATGTCCAGAGAGGAACATACAGTAAGTCAACATTCCATTAGCCGCATTACATGCAGATGGTTGCCAACACACCAACCTTTTCACGGGAATGCAACTAAAGCCTCTCTATAGAATGGAGGCGTCCAACCTTGGCAACATTTTAAAGACTTGTGAACCTCCACTCACAGAATTTCTCATGGCTGGCCTGGGAATTCTGGGAGTTGAAGTCCACAAGTCTCAAAAATTGCCAAGGTTGAACATTCCTCCTATAGAAAGTAACCTAACTTCTCACCACAGCATGAGGGCAATTCTCTGCTATTATGATGGAATCTCTTAAAAGCCACCTCTCAAAAACCAGAATAACTGGCTCTAGCTCTCTTTATTCCATTTAGATTTTGCCCTTCAAGCAAGCAACTTCAAAGCAATCCATTCCATTTTTGTGAGGCAGTGATTGATCCAATGGATCAGTGCACATTAAGGGTCAGTGGAAATCTAAAGCCAGGTGTCTCCAGCTGGGGCATTCTGACCATAGCACACCTCTCATCTTAGTATGAAACCACAGCTTAAGGATGTAGACTTACAAGACTTACCTGAAAGCAAGACTCACGGAGTTTAATAACTAAAGAGGCATTCCTCAGATTTCATTATTGCACATTTGGCATAAAAGACGGATTTAATAAAGGTCATGGATGCATAAATGATCCATTCTTTTGCAGTTGTTTACAACGGATTCAGAGTATTGTTTTTAGGTATCCATAGGTAAAATTAATACAAAATACGGATACTTGTATCTTTAGTTTGATTTGTTGAGTAGAAGCAGGCTGAAAAAATGCTTGAGGCCAGACTTTTCAAGACAAAGTAGTGAAACGCTGAATTCATTAAGCCCTATCAGCAAACTACAAAAATAGAAGAGATGATCTGTTGCTCGGGGTTGAATTGTGGAGTCCTTGGTGCTCTCCGAGTTTGGGTGTTTACTTAGACAGGTCGTTTACCAGACTACTGTGTTTCCCCCAAAATAAGACAGGGCCTTATTTTCTTTTAATCCCTGAAATAAGCGCTTGGCCTTATTTTCGCGGAGGTCTTATCATTTTTGAGGTGAATGAGGCAGTGAGTGTGGTCACCTCACGGCTGCTGCTGTGTTGCAATATTTTCAGGGAGGGCTTATTTTAGCACATGCGCTCAAAAGCCCGATTGGGCTTATTATCCAGGGAGGTCTTATTTGGGGGAAAACAAGGTAGGCAACATCATAAGTGCTGAAGAAGTTACCTAGATGGGCAATGATACATTGGAAAGCAAACAATCAAGCTCAGAGAGCTATAAAAATCTTGATTTCACATCCCAATGAAACATTTCATTGTTCGTAATCATTGCCTTGATTCAAATCACAAGGCCTAGAATTCTGCATTAATGAACCCTTTCGGTGTTCATAGGAAGGGGTGTTGAGAGTCAGTGTGAGATAGGGATGGAGGTGTTGTACATAGTCTGAAAGAAACCAGAATCAAATCCACTTTGGGCTATGAAAGTTCCCTGGGTGAAATGAACTAGTCACTCAGTCTTGGCTAGCAGAACTCATAAAATCGGTGTCATAGGGAAAACTACGAGAAAATGAATACAGATGTTCTGACCGAGGCTTCCCAAACTTTTGGTCCCGGCAAAACCCCCTTTTATTACTTTACTGTGAATTCTGTTCATTCACACCCAGTAAAGTCTTTCAAGGGAGGATTTATAGTCACAGACCTTATCTGCCTTGGAGAACCCTGCAAACTCCACTTCCCTTTTGCTCCTGTTTTATTTCCCCTGGGAGGGGCCATTCATCATCCACCTGTGGACTTGCTCTCATCAACCTGTTCTTTAGCGGTTCCCTTCGGCTGGCTACTCTACACATGAGCACATTGGGAACAGGCTCCAGCTGTTCGTCTGCCTCACTGATGTCTGACTCGGAAGGCAGCTGATAACTGTCAGATGACCCTGGCCCCCTCTCTGCCTCCGACACAGAGCCCTCTTCAGAGCCTTCCCCAGACTCCAGGACTGGGCCATGTTCCTCCCCAATCTCCTCACTGTCTGAATCTGCTGCCAGCTCCGCTAGAGGACCACAACAACACGTTGTGTGGAGCTCCCAGAGGGAAAGGAAGAGTATAAATGAAACAAACAAATAAATGGGTGCACTTGTTCCAGATATATTATGCTCTTTGTGCAAGCTTATCCCGTTAGCATTTGAAACCTAAAATGACTAGGTGGAAATGCATAGCTCTTTGTCTAGTAAGATCTGTGCCTTATGAATAAACAAATGAAGTCAAAATCTGCTCCCAGTTATGCGGCTATAAATCCAAAACCTTGCAATTGAGTGCAATGGAGCTACTGCTTTATTAACATTTTGAGTTCTGCCCCGGGTGATTCTTTCTTTCTACATCCTATTAGAGTGAATAAATATGAAAGGCGTCCCAATCCAGCACACCTTCTCTAGGTGCAATCCCACCGGAGTCAGGGAGGCTTAGTTTTGAGTAAATAATTGTTGGTTTAAATAGCAAGTTACCTAATGGCAATTTTAAAAGAATCATTTATTTTTGTCTGCTGTTTCATTACTTCCTTAGCTGTTTCTGATTCCATAAAATTAGTTGTCAGAGGGTTTGTTTGCAAATTCCCACAGCACTTCCAGGCATAGCATCGAGACAGCTTGATTTGTATATACTTTAGTTGCAAATAGAGGGAATTTTTTCCCTGATCACACCATCTTTGTTTTTTTAAACAACTCAAGAAATATATCAGCTGCCAGTTTTCACCCCCACAAAGAAGATAAAAAGGTTTGTCTTGGCAAATTAACTGTTTGCCTTCTTAGGCTGTGAAAACATCAATACAAATCACAGTGCCTGCTAAACAATGGCTGGCTTTCTCGTTTGCTTCAACTTGGTGCATCCGAAGGGGACGGGACTATATTTTCCACCATCCTTGAGAGCTACTTAGGGATGGCAGTGATTGGACCCCATCACATGCAGAACACATCTCCATGAAGCTCCAACAAATGGATGACACCCGACTGGAATTCCTACATTCCGTAAATCAATAAACTTGGGGTTGGGTAACATGGGGCAACTGCAAGATGGTCTTCATTCCACATTTGTACTGTCCAACTATTTTTCAATCTCTATATCTCACCAGCCAGAAGAAGGTTTCGGCAGACTCAACAGCTTCTGATCTAACATACTTAAAAAGGAAGCATTCTAGCTCAGGGATGTCCAACTCATTTTCATTGAGGGACGCATCAGGGTTATGTTTGACCTTGGGGAGGGAGGGGCGCAATGTCATTCGTGTTGGGGGCATCTGTGGTGGCCCAAGTGCTCTGCCAATGAAAACGGGCTCCCGAGCTCCATTTTCGGCTGCAACGGCCACCTGCAACCTTCTGCCAGCGAAAACGGAAAAGGGCTCCATGAAGCCCTTCCGAGCTCCGTTTTCACTGGCAGAGGCACTGCAGGCTGATCCTTTGCTGTTTCCAGGGTGGCCCCTCGGGTCAGATTTAAGCACCCTGCGGTTCAAATCCAGCCCCCGGGCCTCGAGTTTGACACCCCTGTTCTAGCTGGTTTAAACTCCTGAAAGTAAGTTGTTACCATCTCAGAAAGGACCAAAAAGAAGAAGAAAAAACCAACAGAATCACAGTAAAAGATATATAGCAATATTTTTCCCCTTCAGTGAAAAGGGCTTAATGCATTAAAAAATATATCAAAGACATTCCATTTCCAGGAAGTCCTATCAAAATAGTATTAGGCACTTTAAAAGGCATCGGATTAAGAAGGCAATCTTGAATGTATTTATTAATACATTTATTAATACAATACAGGCAGGATGTCATCTATCAACAAAAAAATCATTTTTACGATGTTAAGGTGGTGGGTCAATGGAGGCTAGCAATTTGTTTTGAAACATTTCTGAACATCTGGGGGAAGCGAGGAGGGGTAGCCTCTGCTGTCCTGTTAGGATCCCATTTGTGATGCAACATGGCTGGCCTCTATAAATCTGAAGTCTTTAAGTAAATTGTGCTCTCACGTTCATTTCTCCATTTTAGTTGCAACAAACAAAGGAGGCAACAGCACTGAAAATTATTTTAAATTTAGAAAAAAAAATCTATTTTTGTTTTAAAAAAAGAAAATTCAAATCATATCCACCATTACTAAAAACAAAACATTCTCCAGCCTGCTAAAGTTTTCCTTGACAATCTCCTCTTTCCTGTTTGAGTGCTGGGCTTCCAGTCATCAGCAGTAAGTTGGTCGTGCAGATTGGTACATTCCAGGCAGTGTACGAAGATGAAATCAGAATTACATTATTTGTTCCAGCTCACTTCTTGTTGAGAACAAGCATGCATTTTCTAGGACCGTGATGGCGAACTTATGACACGCCTGCCAGAAGAGGCACACAGTGCCATTTCTCTGGACACGCCAGCCATCGCCCATTGCTCTTCTGGGTTCCAGCGCACACATATGCTCCGGCTAACTGGTCTCCATGGGAGCACCGGGAAGCTGAGCTTTCGCACGTGCATGTGTGCCAGCTGAGGTTTCCGGTGTGCACATGTGCGCCGGCTAGCTGGCCTTTGCATGTGCATGCATAACAGAAACCGGAAGACCAGGTGACTGGAGTGAATGCGCTTGTAGGAAACTGGAAGCTCAGCTTCCCAGCGCGCACATGCACTGGGGAACTGCTTTTTCACATGCATGCTGGGAAGCTGCTCTTCCGGTTTCTGGTGCTCCCCTGTGCGCGTGCTCCCATTTTGGCACTCAGTGCCAAAAAGGATCGCCAACACTGCTCTAGGACAAAGTATTCTTTGGATTTCTTCATGAAAAACCTTTATACTGTTTTCATATAAAAGAAACTATTGCCCCAACCTCAGAAATAAAAGTTGTCCATCCTGGATCTGAAAATGAAAACTTACATTGAATTTCAAGGCTTAAATATGCATAACTGAAGTATAACAAATATATACATTATTATTTACAGTACCATCAAAGACCCGTGGTCTTCTTTAAAAAGTTATTCTTCTGTTAACAAATAATATCAAATATCACAATGTGGTAGAAAGAAAACGTATTCAGTTCCTCATTGCCAACATGGCATTTATGTCCCAAATGAGATTCCGCAATTGATCCATGATTTGCTTCAGCTGTTGATTCTTCTGTTTCAGTTTCTGTGAAAAGAGATTGGGGGCGGGGGGGAATAAATTGTCAACAGCGCGGCTTGTTTGGGCTACACACTGTGAATTTTAATTGAGGCAATGGCAGTATGCAGGACAGCAAAAAAAAAAAAGTCTATTGCTCAGT